ATGATGCGGAGGCGCTGAAATGATTGGTCGCAGCGGCAAATGAGGGGGCAAAAAAGACTGGAAGAGTAGGGATGGATTTGGAACATTGTGAGGACCACCACATTATTCTCATGTCCTTTGTGGCGAGCAGTGTCTTTTTTCCGGATTCAGGGCTGGATGTTGAAGAGATTCTCATTGATTCTGAAGTGATCCACTGCAAAAGAGGAATCAGTGTTTGGAGAATCAGAAGATGAAACAGCTGGCAGTGTCACCCCAGATGCCGCATCTTGTGAAATCTTGTCTGACCCGTTTTCACTGAGTCAGATGAAGCCCCCAGAAAACTGCCAAAGACAGTGAAGAGCATCTCATTTCTCAGCACAAAGGACTGAATGGTTCCAACTCAGTCTAACCAGTGACATGCATGCCCAGGCAGGCGCCCCCTAGCATCTTCACACCGACACAGTCGCGGCCTGACACCGTCTACCAGGCGGTGATGATTTGAGTCAGTCCGCTTCCCCTGTTGTGACTTTGACGAACAGTGGCACATTGTTTGTGGGGCGAGTGGGAAGTAGCATCAGAAGCCCCAACCACTTGCTATTTTGCGGGATTTTGCGGGCATAATTAGAGCTAGATCATATTGGTCTGAAATGGCCACGGAGGGTGTCTTAGTGCTGAACACAGACTGTTGCCTTTTTGTTGCACAGCGTCGCCGTGGGTGCGTAGCCCTAGGTTTGGTTGTTGTTTGCAGTTGTTGCTGCACTTGTCCATGCTGTCTCCGGGTCTGTTCGTTTTGCGCCCGGCTGTCCTACTATGCTGTTTGCTTATGTTTGCTTCTTGGTATCGTTTTCGGAGAAACTGGGCCGCCGATGAAATGAACCAACAGCATTTGCTGATCCAAGAGCAAGATGACAAATTCGACTGTAGCCGGTAAGACTCTTTGTCGCACCACGCTGGGATATTTTGTAGGAAGGTCATGTCAACTCTGTGGTCATCCATTTTTGTGCTTTAGGCCGTGCATTGCAACGCAACTCTTTGTCATGAAGGGTCCAGCGAACTCCTTTTCAAACTAGAGGTGCTCCACTGTCTTTGCATTTCTGGAGTTGAACTTTCAGGTTTGCAGCCCTTCGAATATGGCCTGACCCTCAGGAACCGCGAGGCCTCCACGGAGATTTGGCCACGGAGGCTTGCAGAATCATTTGACTGATACAGCGGAAACGCAGGGGGTCTCCATAGCGACGGAGTAAATGCAGCGAAGGGTTGTCATTGAGGAGTTCAGTCTCTCCAAGGAATCTGACAAGTCTTTCCGGAAAAGACCCATGGACCATGGTCAAGTCGGAAAGTTCAGTAAGGTGTGGGCCTACTTGCTGCAAGCATCCAATTTAGAAATACGCCCTGCTTTTTGCTAAAGACAACGGCATACAAAGGCGAACATTCATTTGGTGGTGACTATAGGTGGGCTCAACGTCCCGATAGAGGCCGCTGGATCGAGTTCCAGCCGTGACTTACTGCTGGCCCTAGAGGCGATCGCTGGTGGCAGCTGGGGAATGGCGGGGTTTCCCCGCAGGATCGGCGGGGCGGGGGGGGGTGCGGGGAGCTTTGCAGGCAAACTTACCCAAATAAAAAGCGCCCCCCCTCACACCCCCCCCCTCCCGCCGGGGCAAAAACCCCGCGCGACGAGCTCCCTGGCCGAAGACAGTTTCCTTGGGGCACCCGTTCGTTGGGAGTTTGGCGAGGTCCTGCCCAGAGTTAGTATCCTTTCTGTAAGGCCTCATGTGCACGAACATGATTCCCACACCAGACGCGCAAGGATCTTGTCATATCTTGTGGGCGCTCCCTTTCCACCAACGACCTGAGGAAATATACCAACTATCCAATGGGTGTCCTGGCTGGAGTACCCCAGCCTACTTGCAGGCTTCCATTAGACACCCCTTTTCTTTCACAGCCGACGCTCCAAACCGGCTCAAAACCAGAGGGATTTGACACCCCCGGCCATCCTTAGGCGGGTTCCACTTTTTTTGGGAAGGGTCCAAGGGTCCAGGTGCTCTGAGTTCTATTTTTGGATCTACTTCTGGTCATGACCGTTCCTTTGTCAGGTCCGACCGGTCCGTTCTGGTCCGTTCGTTCCGTTCCTTCGAGGGTTTTTGAAGCTTCGTCTTTCAGGCCAGACCTCCTTCAGTGCTTCTTGTAATTTTTGTTTACCACTTTAACTTAGTAGTTAAGATATGGATAGTCCAAATCCAATTTTTTCAATTCGGCCTATTGGACATGTTTGACCTCTGCAACACGAGGCCTTGCTGGTGCACCCACGAAAAAGAGTGGCACTCAGGGTCAAAGAGGCAGAGCGTTGGCGGAGAATAGCGGAGCAGGGGGGAGCATGGCGTTGTGTTTTCGAGGACAGGTCCTGTTACTTCACAGCACCTTGGAGACTGGACATAGTAGGACTGGTCTTTTGGTTCGCTCGGCTCATGTGGTAGCGCTGTCCTGGACAACCCTGTGGACAGCGGCGCCGAAGTCACCTGTGACTGTCTTCACATGAGTCGCATGTGGAGTGGAAACAACATGACAGGATGTAAGAGGGGCATCCCTCTTTCTTACAGACATATGCTAGGATGGGGTTAAAATGTGTCATTGCAAGATGACGTTGACGTGTCGAAGATGGTATTTTTTACCAAGCCTAAGTTCTATCTGGGCTGCCTTAGCATGGAAGGCCTTGGTACAACCGGTGGCCATATCTTTTGCGTAACGCCAGACCAAAATGGGTTTCGGTTTAGTAATGCCCTCCATGTACGTTGAGGTGTACATGATTATGTTTGATTGATGGCTCTTTGGTCTTCCTTCCTTGCAGGGATCCCATGGCACTCTTACCTGTGAGATCATCCCCCTTGTGATTTTTGTCGCTCGAAAAACAGGCTCTGCACGAGCACATGGCCGAGAAAAGCGATTGATGGATGCGATTGTAAGGTGCCAGAATGCTGCAGTCGACCCCGATCTGGGCCGAGTGAATCACCTAACGCAGCTAACTGGACAGACTATAGTCTTCCTTGAGTATTGGCGCGTGTCTTTATTATTCCTATGCTCCCTATGCCTGTCACCGTGGTAGCTGTCGCAGGTGTCAAAGTTTGTTCGGCCTTCAACGTTGTCACCCAAAAACACTTGACATGCTTGTCGAATCCTATAGATACAGTCAATTGCATGCTACATGTTCATGCTACATGTTTATCTGTCAGGAGCAGGATCTCAACCTCAACCTTTCTTTCCACACGGAGCGGAGCTCCTCTCCGTACCACCGGATCGCCTCTCGGGGCGCATGCGCGGTTGGACTCCTCCTCCTCCTCTCGCGGCGGAGGCTGCGGAAGGGCGGGGAGCTGGCTCCCAGGACTGCCCGGGACGACCGCGACGGGGCCGGACGGGGTGGACGACGGAGCGGTGGACGGGGTGGAAAAACCGACTGCGGCCCGGGCCACAGGCGGTTTCTGGATCTGGAGGGTTTGCGCAGCCTTGATTAGTAGTAATAACAAGTTTTGACCGTGGCTCAAATCAATTCGATGGATCCAAAGCCAATGACAACAGCAGAAGGGTGTGGTGTGGGTTAAAAGGCAGAAAATCAACAGCTGGGTTTGTGCATTTCTCTTTCGGTTCCGGTGTCAGGAGCACGTCAAAGATCTCCTCACTCAGCAAAAGAGCCAGTTGCAGAAGATCAAACCCTTTTTGCAAGTCACCGCCCCAGGGACGCTTATAGAGGCGATTGTCCCATCCTGTCCCTATTGGAGCCCCGCTGCGAAACCGCGAAGTGGTTAGTATGGTTCAGTATGGCCATGTTTGTCTCAAAGAATGCCAGTGTGTGTTCGTCAAGAAGAAATGTCATTGGTCAAGAAATGTGAGGCCTTTCCATCGGTGTTTGAGATGGGAGAGGCTTTGCACTCAGCAGCGCTCAGATCTTCAGAAAAGATGAACCAGTCAGACTCATCAACAGATCAACCATGATCAACCGAACCAGTCTCTAGTTTTCTTTTCGTGAAGGAACTACGTACATGTCTGTTAAACTGTTGTTTTTGCATGTGCATTTTCGTGGAGGAACGGCTCAGACCCGTCTCACTGGGTCAGGATGGCCACGACAAACCAACGGCGTGTCGGTCTGAGGACGGCCATGGCCAGCTTGCTGTACAGCTTTGTGGCCAGGGGACCTCAGTTACCTCTCAGCAACAGCGTCCGGCAGCTCAAAAAAGCACTGTGGGACGTACAAGCAAAGCGATGCCCAGTACACTACTGTGGGAACCCTAGGCGAAAAGCCTTTGTATAGTTTTGGACCCATACCTTATTAGATGCTATTCAAAAGCTTGCTATGTTTTAGAAGCTTCTTTGGAAGCCCATAGAGGTTTGCGGGTGGGCAAACGGCCCCCAGAGGGGTTCGCAGGCGCGCAAACGGCCTGCTGGGACGTTTGCAGGCGGGGCCGGTGGGTGTCTAACGTTGCCTTCGGAAGTCTGGGCCGAGCTGCGGCCTTTGGCCGGCATAGCTGCAGCGCAGGAGTGCGGCCAGAGGTCCCGGGAAGGGTTTGACGCCTGGCAGACGGCACTGTCCGCACCTCAGGAGGGTTTGCGGGCGCGCAAACGACCCCCAGCGCGGTTCGCAGGCGCGCATACGGCCTGCAGGGACGTTTGCGGGCGGGGCCCGTGGGTGTCTAACGTTGCCTTCGGAAGCCCATAGAAAAAGCTTTCTGAGCCAAGCTGCGGCCTTTGTTTGGTCAGTGCAGGAGTGATGCCGACGCAGTAGGGCTTTGAAGGCGGGGGTGGCTGCTTAACGTGGCATGCTGGGGCTTTCGTTTGCACTGCCACCCGTTCCACCCTCCGGTGTCCCTGGCGCCGCCCCGCTTAGGCAAAGGCTAAGCAGGGGTCGGCGGATATACAATAATATACAACAAATACAATCAAGATTTAAACCCTCCTTTGACCGACCGTGTGAGTTTGAGACGCATAAATTATCTGAAGCGATGCCAGCCTTTATCAACCTTTTCGCAGTGCAGGCGGGGAGCACAAAGGAGGCGGCGCTCTTCAAAAAGTGGATGTTCAGCAAGCCAGAGGCTTGAAATGACATCTGACCTACTGGAAGTGGCCTGAAAACTATTGTATTGTGCGAAGAGCCTGAAACACGATAGTCGTGTGGATGTAACACCTTCTGGATTCAATGTATGGATACTTGGTGGCCTCTTGTATCAGTCATGTATGGTCCACCATGTGTTTGGTGGAAGAAAGAGCAGAACGATTTTTGCGGCAAGCCTGCTCTACATTTGTCCAGCAGCGTTCTGCGCAGCAGGTGGTGGACGAGTTCTTGCATCGCATGACTGTCACCATCAGCAACTATGCTATTTATCAGGCACAGAAGACGGTCAGTCAGTGTTGCATGTGAATAGACAAACCCTTTGATTCACAAGTTGGAAGGAAGACCTAATTAACTAACACACCTGTCTGTCTGCCGCTGAGAATATCTGGAAATGTTAATCATCACAATGTTACAGACAAAGCAATAGATGCTAGGCAGCCCGATAGCAGGTCAGATGTAAACAAGAATACACTTACTTTTGTGGGTGCCCTTTCCGCTATCTCCAAGCCACATTCCATCTCACCTCTGAGAGTTTTAGAAGGTGAGTGATCGATGCTTTTCACCGGCAGAAGAAACGCAGGAAGCACAGGTCATCCAGCTCCCATCCATCGAACTCTTCCTACAACCCTGGACAACCCTGGAATGATGCAGGTGGAGAGTGGGGCTCAGTGCATCCAGATCTTTGAGCCACTGGGCTATGGGCAGTCACATTTGTTTCCAAGCGGTGGAGACAATTTGTGTCACGTCCATCAACCAAACAGTGCGAGCGTTGCCAGGGATTGCTCCATGAAATGGAGACATGTTTTGTCAGTCAGTTCACTTCTGGTTCCATGAGGGTTGTTGCCTTGTTCTTTTGTCTTTCCGATCACCAGCAACAAAAAGATATAACGTATTCAAAAGACTAGGAACAAGAAGCTACTAGGGGCTCCTGGCCTTACTACTAGGAGCAAGGACGCTACTAGGGAGCAAGTAGACATAAAGAAAAAAATTGACCAAGGAAAATTTGTTTCTGATCTCTAAAGGGCCTTCTTTGGTTCTACTCAGTTGTTTTGAATCCTGAGGTCTTGGGCTCATTGCCTGACTCCAGAGCTCTGGAAACGCTTTGCCGCGCCCTGTGCCGTAAAGGCCCTTCCTTCCCGGTACTGTAAAGGTTGAGAGTTCATTGCCCCTTGGGTATTATTGAAATGGTGGAAGAGCCAAGCAGCTGTTTTCGACGTGTTTGATGTGTACAGTGTGTATATACCTCTCTCTAATATCTAATATATATATATATATATTTGCACATACAGTCACCATATGTATGATCTCATGACCCCATGATTAATCACAGAGTCAGTTATATTTTCACCGTAGCATTGGGGCTTAAGAAAGGTGTTGGATGGGAGAGGAGGCCAGCCCTCCTCTCCCAGTTTGCGATAGGTGCCACCACTTCGTTGTGAGGGATCGATCGGTGGCTACCTGCGGTCCGTGCCGCAAAGCATATCAGCTGGGGGTGTCGCTAAGGAACGTGATACCTCCAGGGAAAGACGAGTCGGCCGTCGTCTTTCTGGAAGGGTGTTTCAGCCTCTTGCAGGACTGGATCACCGAGATCAAAGGCCTGACTGCAAAAGAAAAAGCAGCTAAGGAGAAGAAGAGCAGTCAGGAGGACAAGCCCCAGGAGAAGCCCCAGCGAGAAGAGAAAGAGCCCGTGAAAAGTGACAGCCCTAGGACATCCAACAGACCCGTTGAAGCCTCAGCCAAGACCACCAGAGACCCTCAGCCCCCAAGGGCCACCAGAGACCAGCACCCCGCCACTCCAGTGCGCCCCAGCGGATCCAGCAGTGCACCCAGCAGGTTACCTTTGCCACCACCTCCACCCAATCCAGCGACAGCCCAGGGGAGCGCCAGCAGAGGATACAGCTCCCAGACAGTCCGAATCCCCAGACCAAGCCACGGCATCCCGGAGCCTCGGGTTGAACGACCTGAGACAAAGGTCCCGACAACCCGCAAAGGGAGAAGTGATCCCTTGACCGGTGAAGAGGAGGTGGCAGTTGAGTCGGAGGAGCACGGCAAAGCAAAAAGGGAGAAGTCCAGGAGGAGGCGAAGAAGGGAGAGATCCAGCAGTTCTCCCAGTTCCCGGGGCCGTGAAAAGAAAAGAAGGCGGCGTGAGAAGAAGGAGAAAAAGGAAAAAGATCGGAGGAGGAAGCGGACCCCATCAGGCAGCAGCTCAGTCACGGGACCTCGAGTGAGGGAAGCCAAACGTGGTGAGGCACCCAGGCCAAAGTCTCCGGCCAGGCCTCGGAGTCCCCATACGCCTCCGGGCCCCCCGCCAGCTCCGCCGCCGGTGCGGCAGCCGCCGGTCCGTGCCCCGCCAGTGAGGCCCCCGAGAAGACCGGCAGCCCGACAAGGCCCAGGCTGGATAGGCAGGGTGCCCTACAGCAATCACCCGAGGTGGTGGGCTGGAAAGAATAAGGGGGTGACTCGAAGGGCAAAACAAGAGCTCTTCAACCGTCGAAGATAATGCCCCCTCGTGCTCGGCCAGCAGCCCGAGCCCCAGCCCTACGGCGGAGGCCAGCCGCGAAGGCAGGAGCAGAGGAGAAAGTGGAAGTGCTCCACTGGTTCAGAGATCTGGCCGCCCTACAGTTGAGGACGCTGGGACGCATAGAACTAGCTCAAGCGTCGTACTATGAGGGGCACATCAAGCTGGCAGGCTATGTGGAAGGCCTCGGGAAGGACGAAGAGTTCTTGAGGTTCCGTGCAACGGGCGCCCAAAGTGAGCACATGATGGACATCTTGGCGGACCCCCAGAAGCGTGTGTTCCAGCTCCATGTCTGTGGCCCAGATTGTGGGCAAAAGGAGACAGGACCTGACATCATCCATGCGGCTGGGTACTGGTTGCTTGATGGAGAGACGAAGCCGTGGCAGGTCCAGTATGATGGAGGTGATGTACGGCCAGCAGCAGAGGCTGAGTTGAGCAGGCCGCGGCATGATGAGTTGGCCAAGTTGAGGACGCTTCATGAGGAGAGGCAAGCAGGTTTGGCAGGGGAGAAAAGGTCTCCCAGTGTGTCCAGTGAGAAGAAGGCAAAAGAAAAGAAGAAGAAGAAGCGCAAAGAGAAGACGAAGAAGGCAGAGAAGGAACAGAGCGCCAAGAAAGGTGCAGGAGATGAGGATGGCGGTGCATTAATGGAGCGTGGGCAGAAGCCATTGTCAGCCTTGTACGAAGGGACTTGCTTGGACCCGGATGCTGAGGCCCGCAGCAGGCTGCTGAAAAAGGCCAAACGCCTTGGAGGGAAGGGCTCAAAAAAGAGGAAGCGCTCGTCAAGTGAAGAGTCAAGTGACTCCAGCTCGTCCACCGAATCGGATGATGAGGAGTTCGGTGAAGGCTTGTTTGAGGAGCGCAAGAGAGCGCTACGCTTGACACGCCGCTATCCCGGAAGCCTGGCCTCGCAGACAGTGGCGAACATGAAGGAGTCCCTGCTGACCCAGAGCGGTAGTCTGTATTCTGTGGATCGGAAGAGCCTTCCCCCGATCTTTTCACAGTACTATCGCTTGGAGATGCAAGCCTTGTGTTCTCCATCGATGAGCCAAGAGCTCCTGACCCTTTCGCAGGGGGCCGACTTGCTCCTTCGTGGACATCCTGCACGTGCGCTGGATTTGCTGGCTCAGAGGATCAAGGCCCTCGATCAGCAGATCCGAGGAGGGCATTGGACAGTTGCGAGACAGCTGGAACTAGTCAGTGCTGAAGCAGCTGGCCTAAGCAAAGGCCCTGAAGGACAAGAAGCCGCCAAGCTGGCAAGGGAGGAGTTAAGAGACCGACTCGCCTCCCAGCGGCCCTATGGGTCGTCCAGTGGTTCAGGAGGGCGAGAAAAAGGTGAAGGTGCTGGAAAAGGAAAGGATCGTTACACCTCTGGAGGAGAAAAAGGAAAAGGTGACAAGGGGAAGAGAGAAAAAGGAAAGGGAAAAAAGAAAAATGAGTAGACGAGGATGCAAGAGAGACTCCAAAGGAGGTGTGAGAAACGATCCAAGAAAAAAGGCAGATGAGGCGGAAGAGGCTGGAGAGTTGAGGAGTGGTGCGCTGGATGATGCAGAGGGCGTCTTGGATGAGGAGGCAATAGAGAGGCTGTTGGAGGAGAGTGAAAAGAAGGGCTTGAATATGAGGGCTGAAGAGGGCAGGTTGAAAGACAGTTTTCCAAGGGAGAAAGAGGTCTCCCAGCGTCAGGCAGTGAGGATACAGAGCGCTGATGATGTTGGGCAGACTGCGTGCGTGGTTGAAAGGGAGCAGGACTCCCAGCACTCAAGGCACCGCGTAGAGGAGTCTGAAGGTGCTGTGAGAGGAGCTGCTATGACGACCTATACCTCCCCACGAGAGAGTGGGTTGAGACGGATGGCGTCAGATGCAAGCGGACGGCAAGCATTTGAGGAGTGTCGTCACAACCTTGCCATGACGTGTCGAAAAAAGGACTTGTGTTTTGAGGAGCTTGGGAGGGTCCTCCTAGAGGCGTTGAAGGTGCAGGAGAAGATGTACACGCGTTGCAGCAAGACCAAGGGGGACTTGTTCCCCTTGCCCCTTCCGTCCTCGTTGGAGACCTCTAGCTCCCCCTTGTTTTGCGCAGATGCATTGGTGCAAGCATTGAATTCATTGTATGGGACAAAGACAGTTGAGAGGCACAGGGAAGACAAGACTCGTTTGATTTTGGTTGAGAGGTTGAAGAAAGTGGTTGAGGATTCTGACCTAGGAGGTTGTGAGATCCCGGACCTTGAGTTTGGGGAATTCTTCCAAAACCGTTCCGTGGATTACTCGGGGGAGATCGTCCAGGTCGCTCGTCGTTTCGATTGGAGGATGATCGAAGCCGCATTCCCAGAAGCAGTAGGCAGCCTCAACCTGGAGGATTTCTGTGAAGGGGGAACGCTGGCTTATGTTCAGCGTTTTGAGGATTTTCTTTTGCCGCCCCAGGATCAGCACCTGGGAAAGACGCCAAGCATTATGGTGGAGGCCTGCCACTGGGCGGAAGTCTGCTCGGGGCTGGTGCGACGGGGGGTTTGTCGGCTCATGCATGTCAGTGAGTTGCATCATATAGGAGATCGTCCCTTGCTGAACGGACTGTTTGCTGTTAGCAAGCAGGAGCAGGCCACTGATACATCCGGAAACATTTTTGAAGTATGTAGGTTGATCATGAACCTGGTACCTACAAATGGATGCTGCCGAAGTCTGGTAGGAGACACTTCAACTCTACCGAGTGTGATAGGCATGTCGTCGATAGTGCTTGATGACAATCAACTGCTGGTGACTTCGTCGGAAGACATCCGGTGCTTTTTCTACTTGTTCCGGACTCCGGCTAGCTGGTGGAAGTACATGGGGTTTGGACGGGAGGTCCCAGAGGAGGCTCTCCCAGAGGGGTTTGCAGGCAGAGGATGGCATTTGGTCACACAGGTGTTGCCGATATGGTTCATAAACTCCGTGGCCATCGCACAGCACGTCCATAGGAGAGTGATCAATCAGGCTCTGAAAGGTGATGCAAGGCTGGCCTCAGGACATCAGGAGATTAGACGAGACCGCCCTTCTAGTTGTGCACCCCATCTGTTCAGGGTTTACCTTGACAACTATGATGAGCTGAAGAAGGTGGACAGGACGTTAGCGGGGATGTTAGCTGGGACGCCCTCCGCCTGGACTCTAGCGGTGAGACAGACGTACGAGACCCTTGGACTCCCCCGGCACCCAAAAAAGGCAGTAATGCAATCAGTCAGAGCAGAGGTTCAGGGCGCTTGGGTGGATGGCGAGCTAGGACGAGCAGGGCCCAAGCCCGAGAAAGTCATGAGGTATGTGAAGCTTGCTTGTGAGGCAGTGATCAAGGGGAAGGCTTCGCAGCGAGAGCTCCAGGTGATCGGAGGAGGTTTCGTGTACATTGCTATGTTCAGGCGACCACTGTTGTCAGGTCTGAATGCAATTTGGAGGCGTGTGGTCGAGTTGGACAAGCTCAAGCCCACACAACGAGCAAATCTAGGCCCTGAGGTTGAGCATGAGATACTCCGATTTGTCGCCTTGACCCCGTTAGCGTACATGGACTTTCGGACGCCGATATCAGAGCAGGTGACGGCCAGCGATGCCTCCACCACTGGCGGTGGCTTGTGCGTGTCGAAGAGTGTTAGCCCTTACGGAGTGGCCGCTAGTTTAGCCAGTTGTAGGGGAGATGTGATCTCCCAGGACGAAGTCGGCGCGATCTTGGTGGTGTCCTTGTTTGATGGCATTGGAGCTCTTCGCATTGCGGTGGACGCCCTACAGGTGCCGGTCGCAGGCTATGTTGCGGCGGAGATCTCGCCGGAGGCCCGCAGAGTTGTCGAAAGCTGGTTCCCGGAGGTTGTTGGCATTGAGGAGGTCAAGTCCATTGAGGAGCATGAGGTCAGTAGCTGGAGCTTGAGGTTTCCAGGTGTTTGTGCGGCCCTCCTTGGCGCTGGACCCCCGTGTCAAGGGGTCTCAGGGTTAAACACAGATCGGAGGGGGGCGTTGCGAGACGTGCGTTCTTGTTTGTTCTCCCATGTCCCGCGCGTCGAGCGACTCTTGAAGAGGTTTTTCTCATGGTGTCCGGTCTTCACGCTTGTTGAGAACGTAGCCTCCATGGATGTCGAGGATTGTAAGGTCATGTCGCAGGCCTATGATATGGACCCGTGGTTGGTTGACTCAGCTGGCTTGTCGTTGTGTCGGCGCCCCCGGCTTTACTGGTTCAACTGGGAGCCCAGGGATTTGCAAGGAGCCTCCATCTTTCGTGGGGAATCCCATCGCCTACCTCTTGCAGGGACCATCCGCTTTGCAGGTGAGATTGATGAGCGTGACTTCTTAGAGCCTGGTTGGAAACTTACATCAGCCAGCAGCCTGCCTACGTTCACCACCTCACGTCCTTCACCCACTCCAGGACGGAAACCAGCGGGACTTGCGCTGTGCCCCCCCGAAGCTGTCGCCCGTTGGCGTGCTGACCAACACAGGTTTCCCCCTTACCAATATCGGTGGGGGAACACGGTCACAAATTCAAAAGGAGACGTGCGACTTCCTTCCATTGTTGAGCGCGAGGCGATCCTTGGTTTTCCTTTCCAGTACACTGCCAAGTGTCTTCCCAAATCTGAAACAGGAACCGCCCGCTGCAATGACCTCCGTCTGACATTGTTGGGCAACAGTTGGTCGGTGCCGGTTGTAACTTGTCTCTTGCATAGCCTTTTTGCAACTTTGGGGTTGAATGAAGTGAAAACAGTCCAGGACATTGTCAATTCGCTCACGCCCGGCCGATGCCCTAACATGGCAGGCTTGTTGATGCGTCCTCCCTTGCGCCACAGCACTGCATATGGACAAGAAACCTATGGACTAGTGCAAAAACTTCTGGGTCAGGTCTCCGTCAAGGGAGAAGACATTCTCCTCCAGTTAGCAACTGACATCCCGGCTCGGTACCACCGACTAAGGGCATCTATCCCCGGAAAGTTGTGGCGTTGGCGTGATGTTGTCGGATGGCGCTGGACTGGAGAGACAGAACATATCAACGCCCTGGAACTCAGGGCGGTGAAAACAGCGTTGGTCTGGCGCATCAAGGAGCTTCAGGAGCATGGTCGTAAATGCTTGCACTTGGTTGACTCGCTTGTTGTCCTCCATGCCTTGTCACGTGGACGGTCGAGTAGTCGCAAACTCAGAAGAACTCTTGCAAAAATTAGTGCGTTGTTGTTGGCTAGCGGACTCCATGTAGCCTGGGGCTACATTGATACAAAGCAAAACCCGGCGGACCGCCCGTCCCGCCGGCCGGTTCGGAAGGGATGGCTAAAAGCACGAAGAAGATAGTTGATGGCCGCAGCAAACAACAACGACAAAAAGTACGCAAGAGTTTAGGAAAGTTGAAGGATTTGACCGTCCAGCCACGAACTCGACATCGCTATGACCAAGCATTGCACCAATTCTTAGATTGGTTGACACGGGAAGGCCTTCAAGGCCTTCGCTTGCCCAGCCAAGCCTCCCAGATGGATAATGTAGCGTCGGACTACTTGGAGTTCTTATGGGCTTCTGGAGAAGGGAAATCGGTTGCCAACAATGCCCTTGCAGCGCTTCAAGACTATGAACCGAGCTTGAAGAAGAAGCTCCCAGGCAGCTGGCGGCTGATGAAAGCTTGGAACTCCGCGGAAATTCCGAACCGGGCGCCGCCGTTGACGCTCACTTTGCTCAACGCCCTCTGTGGGTGGAGCGTACTGCAAGACTGTCCTGAGTTTGGCCTTTCCCTCCGTGTCGCCTTTTTTGGCTTGTTGCGCACGGGCGAACTTTTAAGTCTCCGCGCTAAAGATGTTTACCTCACTACACCGAAAGGCCCAGCCGTCATCTCCTTGGGCATGACCAAGTCTGGAGCCCGCCAAGGGGCGGCTGAAAGCATTACCATCCATGAATCCTCTGTTATTCCAGGCCTGTATAGTTGGAAACGCTTGGCTAAGCCACATGATTTCCTCACCATCAAACCCCATGCTTGGCGAAATTTATTTAACCGTGCCATAGAAGGGCTGAAACTTCAAGAGTTTGCCTACCGCCCTTATTCCCTCCGTAGGGGGGGGGGCTACATTCTTCTTTCAGCACCACGGTAGCTTTGATAGATTACTAGTCCAAGGACGTTGGGGAGCCGCGAAAACGGCACGTATATACCTCAACGACGGATTAGCACAGCTATCCGAGATCTCTGTCCCTAATTCGCAATTGCGGCCATTTCTTTCTTTGTACCAGAAGCACCCAATCCTTGAGCCTGGGCCCCGGAAGGCGCCCAGACCAGGGGGACGTGGAAAGCCCCGAAAAACCTGTCCTTTTTCGTCGTTTCGAGGGTTATGGGAGAGATTGAAAACCCTCAATGACTACCTTTGGGAAGTGGAGGTTGTCCAAGGTAGTCCCTCTCAAGTGTTCGGGCTCATGGAGCGCCGGTTTGGCGGCTGCGGCCATGAGGGGCACAGGGGGGGCACCCCCTTCTTCCTGGTTTGGCGGAAGTCGAGGGGTGTCGGGGCCCCGAGAGGTTATTGTTTCAATCGTATGTTTCCATCGAGCTTTTCGATTTCAGACAAACTGGCTGCAACGCGTGAAAAAGACTGGCGGCTGTGATTGATCTCATGACCCCATGATTAATCACAGAGTCAGTTATATTTTCACCGTAGCATTGGGGCTTAAGAAAGCCCTCCCTCCCACCCTGTGTTGTGGGGTTTGTCCGAAAAACCTGTCCTTTTTCGTCGTTTCGAGGGTTATGGGAGAGATTGAAAACCCTCAATGACTACCTTTGGGAAGTGGAGGTTGTCCAAGGTAGTCCCTCTCAAGTGTTCGGGCTCATGGAGCGCCGGTTTGGCGGCTGCGGCCATGAGGGGCACAGGGGGGGCACCCCCTTCTTCCTGGTTTGGCGGAAGTCGAGGGGTGTCGGGGCCCCGAGAGGTTATTGTTTCAATCGTATGTTTCCATCGAGCTTTTCGATTTCAGACAAACTGGCTGCAACGCGTGAAAAAGACTGGCGGCTGTGATTAAATATACATATAAAAATACAGTATATACACACTTACTCTAGATGTATATTTACATACACATAGTTAAACTTAAACGTAAACACATACATTATATAGATGGTAGATGTCAGTTTCATTTTGTTCTCATGGCCTGACACAGTCGACTTCGTAAAATCAACGTTGAACCTCTGTGGTTTGTTGGGAGTTCCTCAACGTTGATAAAGGAGCTTGCGGCATGACACCTTCTGTGATGTGCTTTTGTGACCCTCCGGAGGTGGTGCAAACCTTACGGAAGGCCTGGAGTTTCGCGGCTCGGAGATGGTCTAGGGGTGCCTTAGTGCCTTAGGGTGTAACAGGGGGACAGGGGGCACATCTGCTCGTTGGCAAAATTGTCTAGCGTGAGTGTGAATCTTGAACATTCTTTTTCTGCTCCACTCTTTAGGTGCTTGGAAGAGGTTCTAGAGGTCCTGAAGCAAAGTGACTCCACTGGCACTGGCACTACTCCCGAAAGTCTCCACCCAGACTCCTGTTAATCTTGTGAAGAGCTGTCAAATCCACGAAGAGCGAATCCAGTCACTCGAGTCCAAATTAAGGTAATGCTCAGCTGGAAGGTCACACATGGGCCCATATCAAACAAACATGTGCTATGTCATGTCTTATCGTATGGTCCCTGCAGATATAGAATCACTGCTGAAACGAAAGTGTCTGTGCTGAACCATTTCTTATGCTAAAAGGATTAGGCACTGCCCGATTTGTGCTCTGGTGCCTGTGAATCTTATCATTCTTATCCAACATTTGATGGTGGGCGGATCTTTCCGTTGCAGGCTTGTCCTGACGTCCCAATCATTTACTTTGCGAACGGTGGCTCTCCGTACTTCTCGGACCAGGCAGATGTCCATACCGCAATGCTTTCCAGGTTTGCTTTCAAGCAGGGACGAGACACTGCGCAGCGCACTTACAATTACTGTCGACTACTAATTACTGTATATCATTGTACATCTATTTGTTGCCGGTGATTCATTATCTCCGCTAGTTTCCAGGAGATATGATAGGTCAGGCACTCATCAAATTGCAGCCCAAACTGCATAAGCAGCTTTGGATGAACAATTTAGGATACTGAAGCGATGACAGCTACCCAACGGCGTTTTCGAGTTACGGGGGATGGAGCCTGGTCTGGAGATTTTCATGGTAGTCTGTTAGTCATTCAGTTATTCCAGAATAGAGCTGAAACAAGGGCCAAAATCTTTTCAACACTGCCCCAGCAGACTAAAGCAGACTATACGGATCTTGATTATCGGGAGATCTCGCACATGGCTGATTTGAGTCAAACCTTGGCGCGCAGGCCCACAGACGCAATTTCTTACAAGACAACCTTTTATCGGCTCTTTCATGCTGTCGCAAGGTTAAGATGCTCGCTGGACACATAGATGTCATCGGCGTTGATGCGCCCACAGGCTGCAGGGAGTTGTCCCAGACCACGAAGTTTCGACAACATTCGGACAGGTCAAGAGTTGCTACTAGGTTTGGACGTGGCGATCCCCACTTTGGTGTGTTTATTGGTTTCCTTGGGAATCGTTTCACCTGTAGAAAGCTTTTTGTTATGTTTTCGAAGCCTCTTAGTGACAATAAAGCTTTCTAATAACTAGAAGCTTCCTTGCAAACCGTTTACTGTTACAGTAGAGCTGTAAAGATCGAACACCTGTTTCTGCTCGCTCAGTCTGTTTGAATTCCTATGCAAGCGTCTTGTGTTTTCAGCCGCATCAAGCGATGTGAATGGTCCGAACACTGGCTTGTCTAAGGCACATGCGAATGAAAGATGCTGCAGAGGTCGTGGAGACGCACAATCACGCAGGACGCTTGCTTCCTTGATGTTTGTGGGTTGAGCAGGGCATGGCGACTTTGGCTTCTTAGCCGAGTTGCACCATCACTTGTGGAGCACTCCCTCATCCTTGTAATGTGTGTTGACAAGCAAAATAGGTGTCACGTTGCAAAATAGACTTCAAGCAACACGATCATCACGTTGAATCCCCCACCCACAGCTTCGAACAGTAAACCTACTTTGAAGGACCTGAACGCCGGCTGGTTCTCCAGGGCAATGCTGGGCACTCAACGAATTCAAAGTGACCGCGGTGCTGGGGACCAGGCATTCAACAAGAATGGCACTCAATATAGTTCTTCATTCTTGTTTCAATTGAAAGACGGTAGAGGCATATTTTTGCATTTGGCTTATGCCTATGCTTTAAATCTTTAAGCAAATTGTAACGGGCTCCTGCTAAGACCCGGCACCTAGTGACTTTATTTGATGTTGATTTTTGCAGCTACTGCTGGTGACTGCTGATTGAGACAGGCTGTGAGCAGCACCCATGTTTGAGTAAGAGCGGGCCATACAATAGTTTTTGTTTGGGTCAAGCACTAGCCATTTGCTCGGATGTTGCGACCTCCAGTGTGTTCTTTCTTGTGTTTGAACCGGTTGTGCAGCTGCACACATTTGCCTATCTACTGATTCTTTTAGTAGTTAACGTAGGAAGATAGAATCAGATAGAACAGTGGGCAAAGATTTTTCTATGACTTCATGTTCAAATTCTCACCTGCCTTTCCGAGTTTGATTGCTTCTTGATTTGATTGGGTTCTTGCCGGGCTGCAAGTGCTTGAGGTGGACCCATTCCTCCTGAGATATGGAGAGGAGGATCACATTCGCAAGGCCACCCTAATGACTGTCACCAGTAAGAATTGAATGAAAGCGCACGCTCTCGTTGCTGTTTTTGTGAGCATATTTGTCCTTGAACCAATGACCTTTACGCACGGGTTGGTTATGCTCAGATTCGCTTACGTCGTGCTTCAGGCCGTTCGAGCAGTCATTGATGAAGCTGGAGGTCCTGGAAGGCTTGGATGCCGTCGCCCATACTGACCATGAGATGATCAATCAATTCAAGATCAAGGTGCTACCTAGGATTGTAGTGTAATTAACAGAGATTATTTGAACTTTGAACACCTTGGCCAACAGATGCTTTCATAATATATATATATCATTCATATTCTAGGACAGGCTTGCATACTTTTGCCGACACTATTTGCACAGTTGATGGTTTGCGCAGTTTGAATGTGCAATTATAGACCTTGTGCAGCTCTGGAATGGGTTCGCTGTAGTTGGACCCAAGGCAGTATTTTGTCTCATACCCTAGCTGTGTCCTGACGAACAGGCACATTTTGAACCTTGGCCATGGTGTGCTACAAGGAACGCCAGAGGCACGCCGCTGATTTCAAGCTGACAAAGAAGAGCCATCAATTTACTGCAAATGCTTTGTCTCAAATTTGTCAAAGGATACTGGAGTGTGTAGTTGGATGATGGCCATAGAAATCAGGCAGCCCTTGCTTGAAGAGCCAAAGTCATGAAGTCGTGCTTCCTTTCCCCAGCACGTGCAGTGTCAAGCAACTCAAGCGAACCTGAACAATCAAGACTCCTTCCGCCAAAACAACATCCAACACAATTACTGTATTTTTCACGTTGCCCAATGGATTGTGGAGGGACAATACTGCACTTAGTATCAATGACACTTTTCTTCACTGGAAATTTCTCCCAGCCAGCACCAGGAAAACGTTCTGTACTTTGTGGATGAAGCCCAAAGCTATGCTGGCTCCTCCAAGTGAAGCAGAATACCTTCTCACCTGGCAGCTGGTTAACATATATACATCATGTTTAATGATAGATCCATTTTCTCAGCAATGAGTGACATTTAGCACAAGAAGTACAGAAGTTTGCCAGCACCTCACCTCTTGGTTGGTAGATCACAATCAAGGTAATAGGGAGCAATGTTTGATATGAATGGTTGAAACATGAACTGTGACCTTAGAAAGAATCTCTCACAGGTCTGTACTACGGTTGCGACCCGCAATGATCACTCTGAAGACATATCCTTTTTCCTGCGAAGGGATTGCAAAGGGCTGCAGCTTTTAGCAGCCGTAGTCCCAGATTCGCAAGGTCAGTTTGGACCGGCCAATCTTGATCCACAGCCAGGGTACACCCTTTACTTGGAGGAACACAACATGCTGATCATATTTTCTACATGCAAGGGCGGGAGGGAGAGAGTTGGCGATCTCAATACCATTTTTGTCTGAATCCTGAAGTGGGATGAGCATGAACTCAAAGGAACTAGCTAACTAACCAACTGACCAACTAACTGACATGACTAGGCTGGTATAGAAAAGACATGGGTAAATTATTATGGGACAATTAACTCTGGTCTCCAAACTTCATTCCTACGTTGTCTCCCGATCTTACGCCAAGTTTGGATGCTGATGCTGAGACACCTTGGCAGGTTCCATTTGTCTTGAACAATTATCGTCGGTTTTCCTTTCTGGTTCAAAAGCCATGGACCTGCCTCGAGTCTTTTCTGGGCACTACTAGCAAGACCTAAAGGCCTAACGCCAATGCAACTCATTGCGGCCACGAATGCTTGGATCGAGATAGCGGAAGAGTTCTTTCTGAAGACCCATCCAAGAACTGTGGTGGGTGGCTTTACTTGTGCTGCGTTTCGGCATTCGGAAACCGCTTCGTGCTTGCGTTGTTGCTTTGTTTGGAAGCTCGAATAAGGGTCGATTGCTCAAACGCGTCGCATATTTATCGGTTTTGTCGGGAGAAAAACATTCAGGACCGTATCAGTGGAACATATTGATCAAAATCAGCATGGCTTCCTTGGTAGACACCTGGTGGATATGTTTGTTCACCTCCAATTCCACTTACAATTCACTTGAGGCTGAAAGTCTGAAAGATGTGGCGAATTATTCTGCGGGATGGTCTCGAGATTATGAGGCATCCACGGATCGTGAAATCTTTGCCCACGTTAACCGTCAAATGTCTGTGATCTTGACATGTTGCTTCCTTCTTGTAGCGGAAGCCAGAATCGGGAGAAGATGGAGGGTCTCGCTTGAAACTCTGCAAGTAGATGCAAGTAGGCGACGAACGTTCCTGGACGAAGATGTCCCACAACATGTGTCGATAGTATTCAATGCTTTGAAGTCTGAGAATACCGGGTGGAATCGAAGACTTACCGTACTTACTGCACCATATTCTATCCAATATATTATATTATATATTATATAATCAATATATATATATATATTTAAATCATGTCTTATCATGCCTGCTTACTGATGAGTTACGGTTCGCAGGATCCCTCCATTCAGCACTTCTGACAGTGGCTCAAACAATCTGAGATTCGTAATATGCTGACACTTCCACCAGCAAACCAACCGCTTGCACTTTCCATCCTACTTCTACCCCGAAAAGTGTCACAGACCAAACAACTGTGTCCAAGAACGAGAGCCTTGCCAAGAGTTTTGGCTGCTTGGGCCGCCTTTCTAGCTGCAAGGCACAGTCGAGATTGGGATGGTTGGAATCGGTGGGCGATGGTATCGGTATCGGTTCGTCATTTTTCAGTAGGTACAGTTGGATTCAATACTCCCACCAGCCGGAATGTCAAAGTTGCACTGGAGCCCTGCCTTGTTGGATGCCTTATGTTCAATGATTGAACAGGCATGGTTTGGGGGATGGGGTCTGTCCTACTAAGTACCTGTAATAGTCGGTAAACAGTTATCACGGTTTTAGAGAAAGGCCTTTACATGCCTTTACTAACCATCATCATCCATTTTACTGGTTATAGGATATGCACAACTTCACAACATATATGAGCCCCGATTTGAAGCTGTGTCTATGAGGGCCGACAGATTAGGTGTCGTTTCGGCCGCATGCAAGATCGTCAGTCTTGCGGACGCCCCTGCCCCACAACAACTAGGGCAGGAACAGAGAAGATTCTTTCTTTGTGAAAAGAGCATGTGTTTGTTGTTATGATTTACCATGGACTGCTTTGAGGCCATGCCCTCCTTGCCCACACTGTCCTGGAAACCTCTGGCAGCGATTGCCGCCGGGGCGGCAGCGCTGTTGGCAGTCATGGTGGTGCTCCTAAAGCGGGATTTGCACAGTTTGGGTCAGAGCTGCGAGGGTCTTGGATGTTCAGTATATAAGTCACATGGCTAGCCATATGGATGCGGTAGTGAGGCACTGTGAGGAAGACCATCTCTTGGTCTTGTTCTTTTGTTTTGTATATATATATATACTTGTATTGTACAGTATTTTGGCTGCATGGACCAGTCATTCGAAGCAGGAATTGTTGCACATAGCATGCTTCTCAGAATCATTAGTCTTTTTTCATGTGCAGGGAAGAAGAAGAGGATGAGCCAAAGCAGGACCAATAAGTTAAGTAGAATACTTGCCTGCGCAACAGCACAGACTTTCCCAAAGGTCCTAATATAGTGCTGCATGGACAGTGGATTTATGTTTCTAAAGACAATGGATTTTATAAAGTCCCATCAATGGAGCTTGTCCGTTGTCAATTGTACACAGATGTCTCAATCGCCCTCAGCGTCCTTTGTCCTTATCGCCAGAGCTGCAACAAGAAATACACTCGTTGTCGTCCTTTAGGGCACTTTAGCTTATTAACAAGTGCCACGCTAGTAGTAACAGGTGCCTTACTAGTAGTAACAAGGTTCGCTATTAGAATTAAACTTAAATTAGTATTCTATTTCTGTTACCTTAGGGCCTTAGTGCAAAGTCTAACGCCTTTCGGAGAACACTGGGCGATTTGACCTCCAGTTGCTTAGTCGTTCAGAAGATCAGCAATGCATTAGGACATCCAATGTTCAATGGAATGTCGGCATGTCGGTACTGTATGCTTGCTGTGGCTAAACGCGGAACAGACATTGATTTAGTGTCATGACTCGTAGAGACTGGTTTGATTGCTGTGCGACTGTTGCACATGTTCCTATCAGTCTTGTGTCGTGTGAGGATGACCGGAAGGTCGTCCACGAAATCCTCAACGAACTTGTTGAAGTCGAGGAACTGGCAAAGCGTGCCGTCGACGAGCCTTGAAAAAGAACTTGGGCAAAGACGGCAAAGTGGTCGTCTTCCGTTTTGCACTCGGCAGTCCCTTGCCCCATTTGAGGGGCGCCTTGAGGCTGCTAAGCGCTAAAGAAAGCAAAGCCAAGGAGGGTTCTCGAGCTGTTTCTGCCAAGGTGTCTCGTAGTAATAGTAGGCATTGTCCACGCTTAGGCTTCTAAGGCTTGGGTTTTATATAACTTTTGAACTCTAGGACCCAACTACTGTAGCTGCTGCTCTTCACATTACCTGCTCCTCTTGAGTCTTTTGTCCTTTGTCCAGCTTGTTCACCATGTTGCCACCCTTAGCTTGGGACTGGTTGATATGCTGCGCGGACTTGCAAGACAGCTAGCGGATGGGGATTTTGACTGAGAGGGTTACAACCGGGCCCTGCACGTGGACGTTGACTGGTTGGGGGGCCCGACAATGAAACGTCTATCTAGCTATCTAGAGTCATCAACATGTTTCAAAAAGCACTCTTTATTCACCGGTCCTCCTTTGTTGTGCTTTGGGAGGGATTTGGTGGGACCACTGACAATGACCAATGTTCGTTGATTGAAGACGCCCCAGGAAATGGTGAAAATGCAGCTGGATGGCAAGGAGACGCAGGGCGCTTTCTTGGGGGATCTTGGGGGCACCTCCACAATCACGAGCAGGAATCCTGTGACAGATTTCATGGCCCGTCAAAGTTTACACTATATATTCAAAGCGATTCGACCATGGATCCAGTTCAGACACAATGCCTCACACGTTCGACCCTCACCCTCAGGAGCTTTCTATGGATGAAGCATACAAAAGAGTGGAGAAGCTGGACCTTTATGATCCGCTGGAGAAACGCAAGATGGGTGTCCAAGAGTTTGAAATGATGGTGTCTGGGCAGAGTCTGCCGGGCAGAGAGTGGGGAGCCACATGGTTTTCGGTGGATTGTCCGGATGGGTACGGTGGTGATCGTTGTGTGTGAAACTTCCAGCCACATGATAGAGTTTAACGGTTAGCGGTTAGGCCTCGTTGAGTTGCTAAACCCACTGTCGGACCTGTGTCGGGATAACAACACTTGTTTGATAATCCTTATCCTGGCTGCTGTGGCTCGTCCTTACCAGGTGACTCAGTCGCAACATGACCCCTTCGTGATAGAGATGATGGCGCGGCTCTCAGGCTGGGAGTCATGGAAACTATGACTGAACATGAACACTAGTGTCACTAGATGTTACTAGCAAGCTTTCTTGTTACGTTCGTAGCGATGGCCTCCAACCTAATAGCGATGGCCTCCACCTGGTAGCTTCTAGTTACTAAACATACTTGAAGCTTTGTGAACACAAACCTTCTCATGAATGGCCCCTCCAAGTTTGATGGAAGATGCCATGCAAGCCAAAGTTGGGGATAGAGATTTCAGTCCAAGGGTACTGAATGGGGTGTGGCAGATCCTTTATTTTCTTGTTCTGCATCGTGCTGTTTTTTTAAGCACAGCTTATTTGACATTTGCGCAAGTCCAGCGGCTTCTGGTTTCTGGTGGATACTGCAGATGAACGGTCGGGTGGGACTATCAACCGATCCTCCTGTGGCAACTCTGACCTCTACCTGAACCTCCAGACTGAGTGCTTTGTTGGCGGTTCTTATGTACGAAGTTCAAGGTATGATTAAAGACCAAACTCTATCCCCAAGAAGAAGCAGCAGCATGATCAGCATCAGCATGCACGGGACACTCCCTTTGTGGGGT